GAGGGCAGCAGGACCGCTCCTTTGCAAGGCAGACCTCCCGCTACAGCACTGACGACGAGCAAGCAGGCATATTGGTAACAGGCCATGCATCTTGTTGGGCGTAAGCCAGCAGTCCGGTTGTCCTCATGCCTTCAGCCCAGTGTACGAAGAGCATTGTGGGTTTCTGGTCCCATTTTCTTTGAGTAAGTGTGTGTTCTCAATTCCTCACCAGCCAGCAAAAAACAAAAGCAAAGCGAGTAATGGGTAGCGAGGTAGGGGTGTTTGTCCAAAACACATTTCCACCAAATTGTGAAACTGCACCTTTAGGGAACTGCCTTTATTTGTTAAAGTAGGACCAGTCCCTGCCAGGTCTCCAGACAGCAAAACTACATGCTGGCAATGGGTAGATAAGAAGGCAAAGCAGAGCTGGAGGAGAGGGAGACAGAATATTGCAGGAGGTATTTTGAGTATATGAGGCTTAAAATCAGCTCAGAAACCTCTGGTGAAACCCCAGCCCATGACTGTGTCTTCCTTAGTGCTCCAGCATGGTCAGATGGCGAAATGCCCATGGAAAAACAGTGGAGCAGTTTATGGGCATGTTATCAGGATGTAGTTGCATGTAAGCACTCAAGACACCTTAAAAAGAAAAAAAGTACTGTGCCTCTCCCTTTTCCAAGGGAAAAAGTAAGCAAAAGCAGCAGTTCCTCAAGCACACCATACAGAGGAGAGCTGTTTCAGTGCTTGCAAGGCAAATTTCTACACCAGTGACTAAAACGGAATGAACTGCAAGGTATCAAAGTAGGCATGGACACCAATACCTATTTCAATCAGTGCCATGCCAGCTTTTGGCTCTGGCTTCCAGTCTGTGCCAGACCACATTATCAAAATAGCGTGCAAGCTCTGCCCCAGCATGACAGAGCAGAAATGTAGCTATCCAGATCACCTACCCCTGCGCTCCCACTGCAGATTACAGCTCCACCCACAACAGCAACCACCAAGACACAAAATAGTGACCCTTCCAAAGTAGCAGAGCCCCATGCTTACAAAGTAGCACATTTTTCAAGTGTTGCTTCTTAAAGGAAGTTTATTCCAATGCTTCAGGTTTTTTCCCCAGTGTTTTTAATGCTTTAATTGATCAGAAGGAAGACCTAAAAAAAAAGTCCTCTCCAAATGTAGTAAGACAGGTGACCTGTGAGACAGGTGGCTTTTATAACTTGTTTCATCAGGTATTTTCCCAACTCTTCAGAAGAGGTTTTATACTCAACGCTTACCTCTTAGCTGTTCTTATCAGAGGATGAACAAGCTTAAGTCCTGGCTATTCCAAATTTTACTACAACCTCAGAATTTGTGGGCTCTCTATAAATCAGTATTCCAAAAGGTAAGTCATGTTGAAGAACAGCCCTTCCCAGCAAGGCAGAAAATCCTGGTATCCAATGCCTGTAGAGAGAAGGAACTGTGGAAGAAAGGGAAAGCCATGCTTCTTTACGCACTAGACATCAGGCTAGTGCCAACAGCAGAGGAGCAATCAACAGCCCACAATAGGTTTTTAGTATAAAAACAACTGGAAACTGCTGTTGTGGAAACTATGGCAGCAGTGAAAACCAAAGCAAAGTGTTCCTGATACTCAGTGACACCTTTATCCTGGCAGGAGTTTACTTGCTCATAGCCTGTCTTTAGAAAGTCTCATTTCTTCTTTGAAGGTCCATTCTTCTTTGAAGTTGCAAGATGAGACCATCTTGCAACTCAGCTCTCCCATTCAATAGTAAAAAAGCTCCAAAATGAGTAATTAAGACTTATCCTGTATGCTAGAGAAACTTCAGAAGGTGTAATATAACTTCATATTATCAGATCTGCTCCTGCAAAATAATAAATTACAGCAAAACCTTAGTGTACACTGTAGGCTGCTCAGGAACCGCTGCATTCGTCAGCATGCAATTACATGGAATAAAATGCAACAGCTTCTAAAGGCAGTACGTAATCAATTCCTGTGGCTTGCAGGTAGACACACACACACATACTGGTGACATGGGTTGATTTACTGAGTCATTGCAAAATACAATACTTTGCAATCAATACAGAGCAAGTCTATTCAAAAACTATTAATTACATGGTAACATCTGTGTCCTCTTGTGATAACAAAGTAAAAAATATTACAGTTTTAACAGCTGAAACATCAAATTATGATCTTCACAGAAGAGTAACAAAAGCACTGGTTGCAATCACACTCCAAATACTTTATCAGATGCGGTGCATGATCTATGCAGCAACTTTAATACTGGAATTCAGTACTCAAGGCTAGCTCTGGTTCACTGTACACCTGCATTTTAAAACTTTCCATTTTTATTTAATTCACTACTTAAAGTTCTTGCCACTACCCTCTGCTTATACCATACTGCCCCAAATTAGCCTCCCTTCAATGACTGACATCCTTGATGGACAGCCTCTGGAGGGCCAATTCAGATCTCTGCACAGCAGCATGGAAGATCACTAGAGGACAGAGAGTGGAAACAACATCAGAAACAGAAAAACAGGAATGAGAGCCTGTGACAGAACAAGTAGTTAAAAACAGGACAGCGCATCTGTGACCATCACAAAATACTGTTCAAGCAGCAGAATTCATACATAGATGCTTGTTGCTAAACAGCTCGGTGATTTGTCATTGTAGGTGTTACACACATAAAAAATTCAGCAATAGCGCAGTAAATGATAAAACTGGGACCACTCATTTTACAGCAGTGATCAAAAGCACCTTTCCAACGCCTGCCAGTGCAAAGCTCACATCCAAAGATGATGGGGCTGAAAATACAGTTGCCAGTCAGCAGAGGATTTTTGAGAACACATGTGAATTCCATCCAGAACTGCTGACAGAGGACAAAGTGCCACTTTCCAAGCAGCACTTGAATAATTTACTTAAGTTTCCCCACTCCCTAGCCATCCCTCTTTTAAAGTAGGAAAGGGGAAAAAAAAAAAAAAACCCAAACAAAAAAACAACCCAAACACACACAAAAAACTGAAGTAAAAAGACTTCATGAGAAATATTTTTAAAGGTGTTGTCAAACAACATTTCTTCAAGGCCAAGCTGTTTTAATAGCATACAGAAGTCAATTTCCAACAAGATGACACTTCATATTTGCCTTCCAATATTTTTAGGGTGCAGTTCATCAGCATGAGCACCAGGTCTGCATTTACAAAATGTGTGCTTGTCCCCACAGGCAAGTAGATATTGTACTTCAGCATCTGCTTACACATGTAAGTTTTGTATGCATACTTGGTGTGTTTGCACCTTGCAAGCACAAAACAGGCTCTCACCTTTGAAAACCACAGTACTTAAAATATCTGAACCATTAGACTTCCAACCTCTTGCTTTGGTATTGAATTGATAGAAAGTTTACAATGTCATTCTTCAGTCTTAAACAGACTGAGTTATTAACCAAGAAAATAAAAAAGTAACAAGTTTCAGTATCCAAAGAAATCTGCAAATACATTCATCAATATGTAGTACATTACGAATAAGGAGGCAATACATGGAATTGCTATAGCGTGAATGAAAACCAAATAGTTGTAGGAAAGCCTGAAAGCCTTCCTAATATTTTTTCTCAGGTAACATTTAATGTCACTGTAGCAATGATAATATAGCAGCTTCTACTATGTTACTTCCCAAGTTGTACACTCTATGTTTGATTGAAAAGGGGGGTGGGAAATGAGGGCCTCTGAGGAGTTTGGCAGCAACACTTAAGTGCATTGAAAACATTGATAATCTGTGGCATATAGGAATTAATGGATTACACAGGATACTTTTTTCTATTTACAGTATCATACACTTGTATAAAGTCTCTGCTGCTTTTTTTTTTTTTTCTTTTTTTAGTACTTAGCCTGTGGCAAATCACAGTAACATTATTCACAGAAAAACGAAATCCCATTTTCGTATAAAGACTAAGTGACTAATGGGTATTACTTAACCTCACTTAAGCTATCTACCCCTCTGAACCTCAAAATCTAATTGGCACAAAAACATTTCAATAACTTAATAAAGGAATTGATTGCTCTTTATTGTTTACCTCTTGACTTAATCATTACGTTCACTGCTGGAGAATCATCCACTTTGCTAGACGTCAGAATTAATACATTTAAGCCAAAAAACCAAAACAAAAGCACAAAAAAACCCCAACCCTGCAAGAAAGAGTGACTCTGCTGTTCGGTATCTGACTGGATGGTAGGAAATACCAAAGCAATGGGGTATATCACAGCAAAATCCTGCTGCCTCTCAGACACCAGACTACAGCAAGCCTTCACAAATAATTATGTTTATGGCAGTAGCAAGCAACTCAACTTCAGCAAAAAACCGCCTTATCACCAGGCTTAGTAGGGCACCAGAGCCTTCAAAGCAGTTTCTGGTATCAGTCTGAAGATGCTGGGGTTTCTGGTTCCAGTTGAGGCAGAGGCAAATTAGAGGGGACTGGGAAGGAACATTGCACACTGTGACACAGCTAAAAGACTGACCTATTTTGCACTTGAACATGCAAAACGCACTGCAGTAAAGGAGGAAAAACAACTAAATCACACAACATCTGCCTGAGGGCCAGTGGTGTGGCCCTCCATCTTGCAACAGGTCTTTATATAAGTATTTTAAAAACTTAAAAGAAATCTAATATGTAACAATCAAGCAGAAGGACAATGCAGAACAAAAGAACCGTGCCTGAAGGTCAATTTCACATCCTTTACAAGAAACCTGGACCCGTTTCTTCACTGGTAAAACCCTGTCACCAGGTCTAAAGAGCCATTACATAAAAGCAAGCAGCTGGATGCAAGTATGGAAATTTTAAATATTTACTAACGATTGTATAGAAGAGTTTAGTTGTGAGACTAAGAAGGGCAGAGTTGCTTTTAGTCAAAGGATTGCATACTCCTCTAGAAAACAACAAAAACACAGTAAAACAAAAAATCCAACTGATTATCAGTTTACTAACCTTCGTGTTTAAATCCTCAACTAAGATGTTAAAAAATGCACTTGAAACACTTGAACACAAAACAGGGTGTACCTGCTACGACAAAATTACTTTTCTTTCCAGCATACTCTTCATTAGCTTTTGGTGCTACATGCTGAAGAAACTAGATTTAAATCAGTGAATGGCAAGTGTCAGCAGGCAATGATTTGCACTACACTGGTGGCTCCATTTTGATCATCCTTTTCTTCCACACTTCCTTTTTTTAAACTTTTAAATTGAAAAATCAATCTTCCATTTGGAAATTCAGAGCCAGGTCTGATTTTCTTTGTCACCTCTGGTGACACGGTAGGATATCTCCAGAGTCCATTCTTATTTCTTGCCGATCCCATTTGTTACTTTTGATTTGGAGTGCCGATTCCTCCTTCTAGATGAATGGCTTTCACTATTGACTGAATGTTTTGGTGGACTATTGTCAGCACCTGCTGAGAAATAAATATTTTTTGACTATGTATATAATTTGACATTGTCAAGCTCTTGTCTGAAAGACAGTAAGGCTATCTAGAGCTACAATATTTACACTATGGATTATTTCAGGCTAATACAAACTGACTGATACTCGTTCTCCATCTAGTGGCCTACTTTAAAAAAGCAATTCTTAAGACTTGCATAAAATTCTTCCTCTAAAAAATTCAGAAGTTTGCTATGGCAGAATATAGTGGTGAAACATCAGTAATTAAACCTCCACATTTTTAGTACTGGCAGGTACTACTATCAGAAATTAAGGACTATGGAAGCAAGGTCACAGATCCTTGTAAGGGTATATTTCTTGTTTTCAGTCTTTCATATAACAAATCATGTTTGACTGAGAAAGCAGAGGGAGAGAATTGGGACTGAAACAAGAATTCAAGAACAAAACATGAAAGAGGCTGAAGTTTGTAATTAATGATGTAACAAAAAGTCAGAGAAACATTTGCTTGGCCAGATTTCTCTGGCATATATAAATGGGAAAAACATGTTGAGCGCAACAGTTTCGCTCCAAAACATAAAAATCCACAAATTTACTAAAGTGAGAATAAATTAATATCAGCATCCAGAAAAACCATGTATGAAATACAAAGAAGGTCTGCTCTAGATGCTTTTCAAGCATAGGATAAATAAGAAGTATTTTTAATGATACAAACACCTGGAACAAACTCTGACAGAGATAACTTCCAGGTGTGAATCTTGGTATTTGTTCAATAAGCAAGACCACACACTAAAGAGTTAACAGAGGAGGCAGGTAACTTAACTGACCTCTTGTGTAGGGAAAAGAAGTCAGGGAAGGAAGCTGCCTTTGCTTAGGACATAGAAAGCTTTTTATGATCGTCAGCACTGCATTGACTAGGCAAGTGTCAAGTAAGAACACAAACTCCAGGGCACATTCTTGACTGTTTCTTAACAAGCAGGAATAAAAGCACAATTCACATTCATATGTTTCAAACCAAAGATGCAATGTTCAGAGATAAAACCTGTCTATAACAATTATGAAATGCGTAATGCCCCAAATCTACAAGAATAGCCTGGAATAATAGCAGAAAAAAAAAAATCACTTGCTTCATTAAAAAAATAAATACATTTCCAAGAGTTAGAAGAAAAAAAGGCAGTAAAGCAAAATAGCTTTGCAGATGATTTATCTGTATAGCTCCTGCAAGGATGTTTAAATAAGTCCAGTTGTCTCCAAGGTAAGTTTCTCAAGCTTCATTTCCTAGTGCTCAGCCTTAATGCTACCACTTTGAGAATATAGGTGCAAAAGTGCCAATACCTCTACTGAATTTAGAATGAAGCCAGGAAGCATCTGGACTATATGGGCTGTCTTCACTTTCTGATAAGGTCTGCAAAAACAAGAAGGATACATGTCATTGGGATGCTGGTGGTTCTTGTGATCAACACTTCTGTTTGTAATTAGACTTGTAAATTTAAACTCTGGCAGAAGTCCTCATAAAATATTCCACAAGTACTTAGGACTTTTCCCTTCCTACTTCGAAGGTACAACATACATGATACAATAAGAACTCACCACTTGCCACGTGATCTGTTGTGTAACCAAGTATTCTTAATATTCCCCTAGCATTCCACCTGTACAATAGGAACATTAGCTAACCATTCATCCCTGAACGCTTTGCTAAAATTACAGCCTCATTTTGAGTAACTAAGAGGACAGCATTCTTTAGAAACCACAGTGTAATTTGGGATCTGTCCAAGGTCTGCTGAATTCAGAGTTCTTTCTATTGACTTCAGTTAGACTCTGGACCATCCCCCCTTTACCCCCATTTATACTAGCTCTGGTAAAGAATTCTAATATCTAGAAGCTTTGCAGTTTTAACTCTGGTATAAGACAAAAACAGGCTTCCTAATAAAGTACCTTTTCTCGGTGGCCGTAGTATTCTGCATACCAAACCATTCCATATAAACACAGGAAAGTTGTAAAGGCCTAAACAAGGGAGGAAAAGAAAAAGAAATAATAAACTGTAAAACTTTTTCCAAGTTCCTTGCTGGTTCAAGGTCTGAGAGTCCCTGGAGATTCTGCATTCAGAGACTTTCATGCTCTGTTTCTCTCTGCATCTTTTGTCAGGATGAGTAAGACTCGTGCTTCAACTTTAACATACATGTAACATTGTGCTACCATGGGGTATGCAGAACAATTCTCAGTGGGAGCATGAGAATACATACAGATCACTCACATACATACAGGATACACTGTCAGTATGATTTGTGTCCTCAGCCTCTACAGTCATCATACAAAGGCAGTTGATAGGCACTTATAGGTATATAATCAGGAACAACCAGTTTGAGACAAAAAGAATTTTCCTTCTCCTTGCCCGACCTTTCAGGCTGGGTTACACATTTGGTTTTATAGTGCTCTGATCTGGGAAGAAACTCAAAACTTTTCTCCTCTGAAGTTTCAGGAATAAAATTGCCATGCTAAACAAGAGAACAATAAATCTGACTACCTATCACCTGTTCAAAACTGTGTTCCCAACTAGAAAAGAGAAGTATTTGTCAGCCCATTATAAATGCCTTATTTCTCACTGACTATTAAAAATGTGTTTGGCATCAGAGTTACAAGTCTAGCAAGATAAACATCAATCTACTGTTATAAAATGTGCATTTCATGCTGCATTTGCAGTAATCACACTGAAGTACAGAAAGTTGCAGGCTGAGTGAGAATGATTTGCCTGATAAAGGAGAGTTGTTTATGTAGTTGTAAGACTTGAAGTGTGAAACAACATGTGTTACTTACTAATGCTATTCATTAAGTCCTGTTCCTTTCCAGTGGGCACTATAGGAAGCACCTTCAAAATTAGCCTCAATCAAGCTGACATTTTCTCGCATACAGGTAAAAAGCCCTATAACTAGTGTTTGTTTCATTGTTAAGCACTGGTAAAGTGGCTATATTCTTCTATGTCAAGAAATAAGAAAAAAAGTTATTCTAGTCCCTTCAAAGTATGTTCTAAACAATCTCACATTTGCTTTTCCTAGGACATGCACAAAGCTCTTTACCAGCATTCCCCCCACAATGATCCCCCGCTGCCAATGTTCTAGAGAGGAAGCTATTTAGATGCTTTCAATGCTTTTGCCATGCTTATGTTTCACAGGAGAAGTCTCACTTACCACACAGAGAAGCCAAAACACAACATACAGTATTTGTGTTTTGGAAAAAAGGTCCTGTCCAAACTTTATGCACACAATAGCTTCAAGGAAAGCAATAACCCTGTGGGTAAATGAAAGAGAGAGAGAGGGAGGGGAGAAAAAAAAGTGGTTACAAACACTAAGGATTTAACTCACATGTTCATAACCCAGACCCCAGACTGTCAGCTCTAAACAAGGACTACTCTCCAGTGAGCACACACCTCCCCAACAGTACCATTAACTGAAATTCTTTAGGAAATTTATTTTTCTTTCTATACTTTTCTTTAGCATAAACAGCATACAAAAAGAGATCAATTGGTAGTTCACAATTCCGCAAGCCTCTGCTTGTCCAGGGAACAGGCAGGAGTGTGTGAGAATTTATCTTTATACCTACCACTGTGCTTCAGCCCTCACCAGATGTAAATTTCTTTTCCATGCTAAACAACCTATAGACTCCCTGTTAGGTGAACTAGAACTGTGCTTTGGGTATTCCTCTACCGGATGTAAATTTACTACAAACCTAAACAGACTACTTTGCTTGCTTCAGATGGATTTTAATGAGAAAATTAGCAAGAAACAGCATTTCGAATTATCCGAGAATCCATGCATTTGTTTGGGTTTATGTGTAAACCCAGGTCCACATTACAGTAGAGGATTTGGGGGGAAACGCAAGAGGAAAAATTGCAGTATTTACTTTCCTCTCTGGCATTATAAGAGCCAAAACAAGCATCTCCAGCTTCTCTCTTTGTTACCAGACTCAAAGCTATGGAGGCTTGTCCACCACTTGGTGGGAAACAAGAGATTATGAATCCAAAGCTTCCACCATTTGCCATAGAAATATACTTAGTTTGTGGAGGTCCTGGACACAAAATAACACCTTTTTAACCAATACAAGTGTAGACATATGGCAGGTGCAGCAAAAGTGTAAAAAATTGATTCTCCTCAAGCTGAAGCAAATCATGAAGAAAACTATTAAATTTTTAAAAGTTTAATACTTAGCTTGTTCAATAGTGACTTTGAGGTTTTACATGAGCAAATGCATGAACGCTCCTCCTCAGATGTGTACAGGCACACTTAATATCAAGTCAAGTGTTCCAGTCTTCCAAGCTCTGCAGGGACACTGCAAGACACATTCCCTACCAGCACTCTCCACAATCGGGGAGCTGCCAAAAACAGCTCTACTGCCTGGCAGACAGGACCCAGCTCCCTCCATGAAAAAGGGAGGAAAGATGTGTGCGTAACTTAACCACTGGTATTGCAGAGATGGTCCTGGTGCAAATAATTAATTACAGCTTTCTCTGTACCATCTAATGTGACTTCCAGCATGATGAGTGGGGCCAAAACTTAGAATTTTGGAATTAACACCTCATTGACCAATACTGCAAATTAATGAGGTGCATATTAGTAAAAACTTGAGAGCAGTGTTACTCTGTTGGATCACAAACTATCTTTCTTTCTTGGTTTTACATTATTCTTACTGATCAAGCTACAGATTAAAAATTAGTCAGACTGAACTACAGCAGTGGGAACAGAAAGACCGCCATCAGGAAAAAAAAAGGCAAATGTATGAGGGTATGATATACTCGAAGGCATAAGCAAAACAATAGGCTATGTTCAACAAGGACTCAAAAAGTTATACAGCTGTTTGTGCTGCACTTATAGAATCTTTTCATTATTCTTGTCAAGAATACTTGGATTAAGTGCGTTGTACAATAGGATAGCTATTACAGTTAAAGAAGTGGTAAATAAAAAGACAGAAGAATGCTAAGAGTGAAAGGTATTAGTGTCCTACTGAAGGGTGATGAGAACACTCAATAGAACTACAGACACTAAGTTTTTATTCAGTCAAAATGGTCTTGTAACATCCTAACAGCTAGTCTTTTTTGAAAGGCTTCACCTTAATGAAAACGGTGCAATTTGCAGCAGAGCTGTTGCACTGGCCTTTTTCATGCCTTACATCACTTACTGTCCATCTATTGCGAGTAATGCTACAGGTTCCAGAGAACATAGTTTCATACTAATGCAAAGCACTGATTTTAATTATTCCCATGATTAGGCTGTCACACATTCAATTTGTGCCTTTTGAAGTGTGTCTTGATCACCAGAGATATGAATATTCTATATACTTGCTTTTAATTGCTTCAGAAATTATATTCTGGGTAGTTAAATTACTGGAACAGTGCTGCTTTTCCAACAACAGGAACTCCTACCATTGCTCTTTTTTCTAGCAGATTACAGAAGCAAGCAGTATCAAGGAGAACACTTACTCCAAGCACACTTCCCATTATTAGATCAGACTGCAGATGAATACTCTGTTGCAGTTCTTGTTATGCAATCGTAAAGAGATATTTGGGCATCTATTTAATAAATCATAGAATAGTTTGGGTTGGAAGGGACCTTTAAAAGTCATCCAGTCCAACGCCCCTGCAATAAGCAGGGACATCTTCAACTAGAATCAGGTTAATCAGTATTTATTGACATATATTACATTAATATGTTCAGTGAGAGCTTTGAACCAAGGATGATTGTTTCTGTAATCCTTAACAATTTTTCAGAGCCAGAAGGCAAACATTCAGCATCATATTTCCCTTCAGTTTGCAAAATAATATGTTTACATTCTTTCTCTTGGATGAAACAGTAGTTCATCTTTCTTTCCTCATATCGCAGAACTTGAAAATTCTTCCCACAAAATTATAAAATTGTTTAAAATGTGTCTTCTGTAAGACTCTAAAATTACCATCTATAGTTGTTTATATAAAAAAGGAAATTTTCTCATCTAAATTCCTAAATCATTTAAATACAGATTTCAGTAACATGTCTGTACTCAATTGCATATCTCCAAAATATTAATACAGTTGATCTGTAACTACTAATATGTTTATGCACAAACAGAGCAAGGTTATTTGATTGTAATTGTAAATTAAGTAATCATATTAACTGTGCAATTAATTAGTTATCTTCAGTACTAAAGCACCATCCGTACTAAACCCAGAAAGACGTTACTCTGCTGTGATTAAAAAACCCCAATGCCTTTTTAAGGACTCTGTATCATACAGCCTCTCTTTAGGAATCATAATGCATGTTTTGAGCAGGGTGATACTCCCTAAGTAAGGAGGTTTAGTCTTACAGAAAATATTATCAACTCCTACTCAGCAACAGTAAAACTAAACAAGAACAGAGTTACTATCTTTTGTATGTCCATTGGATGTTATGGTCGTAAGTCTAACACAGTAACAGATCCATCCAGGAAGGTGATAAGTCAGTGAAAGAGGTGAATATTTAAGCCCAGCCAAACCCAAGGAGACATGCCATGTTCTCCAGAGTACATTTAAAACAAGGGTAGAAAAACCCTTCCATTACAATGCAGCATGCTCTGCTCTCATCTCAATTAAATATTGAAAAAGGGGTACGTGGTGGTGTAGTGCACCTGGAAACATGCCTTCCAGCCCAGCACTGTTCCTAAAATTCTGTAACATCCCTGAGACTAACAGTAAAGGTGAGATAAATTTGCCAGAGTACTGTCTCTAAACTAGATCTGAGTATTCTATGGATCACTGACATGCTATTCCAATTTAAAACAGTAATAGATTCTTCTATTAAACACACAAATGGTTCAGACAATTCTGAAAACAAGACATACACTAATCTTGACAAAGAGAATGAAATAGCTGTTTTAATTTAAAATCATTGCCATCAGAAATTAGCCTCTCAATCTCTTAAAATATTTTTTTTTTCCTTTAAGATGTGATTTAGGATCTTTTGTGTTTTCCCATTTGTAAGCTTCCAAGTCATAAATAAAAAGGGACACTACTACACTGCTTATTTACAAGAAGCTCTTAGAACACTACAATAGCATATGCTATTGCACTGGTATCCAGACCAGTACATTTTAGTCAAGCCATCTAGAGAAGGAAGTTCTCACCAGAAGCAATCATGTAAACTCTTCATTTAAAGGTCTCCTCCAAGAGACATGTTGAAAGAGATTGTAGCCAAGGTAACCACTGTTCATAGTATTATTCTTTTCCCTCTTTGAGAACAGAACAGAAATAGTTGATAACTATGGTTTGTTTCAGTGTCTTCTGCTGTGATTCTGCTAACAGCAGCAATGCCCACCTTGATGGCCAGGTAAACATTGCTCCAGTGACAGGCAAGCGGTAGAGGCAAAAGCTTTATCCTTCTCACCTGTCTGAGAATATGGGCAGCAAGACGAATGCTACTTTGAAGGAGTCTAGTTTTATCCAGCGATTTCTAGTTCTTCCTTCTGTTCTTCTCCTTACTCATTCCACCACCTCCCATGTCCTACCTCCAAATCCAGAATTTTCCTTTCCTCTGAACTTGTAAAAAAAGGAAACCTCTCCATACTGTCCTTTATACTAAAAACAACACGTGACAAGGACTGGCTTCATGCAAAGCCTGCTCCTGTGCTGGACTCATACTTAACGCTTGTCCAAGTGCTTCAAGAATGCAGCTAGAACACTTACCCAAACACCCAGCACTGAGTTCCCACCCTCTTGCACTGTGTATCTGTAAGGTACGCATAGTATTGCCTGAGAAGGGAAACAAGAAAATTCTTCAGCGGAGTTGAAAGTCCCCAGAGTACTTACATTGAGAAAACACATTTATGTTACAAATGTATCTATACTGAAAATGAACTGCTGATGGTTAAAATCACATGTGATCATACTGGATGTCTACCAGATGGCTTCAATTCTAGTAGGACAGATTATCACATAGATCGAATAGCTTGAAACAACACAGAAAACAATCCTGAGAGCAAGGACTGGGAAAGTACCCAAACTAGTAGGCTAACAAAGCTACACATTTGACTCCTGCCTCTCCAGTGAACCTACAATTCTTTTAGGCAAAGTGCAACAGCTTAGAAAGAATTAGAGAATCCCCCACTTTTTTCAGCTTGTCTTTAATTTATTAACAATTGTATATTCTTGAGATGTGGGCTTGAATCTTGAAAGAAACTGAATATGGCTATTCCATACCCTGGGTGAGTGCTCTAACCACTGGCATGTTTTCCTCTCGAGAACAGAGTAGAATTTCTCACTATTTTGAAAACAGTCTGGAGACCATTCTGCTCTGTTCTTTATGCTCTTTATGCTTCTAAATTTTAAGAGTTTAGAGAGGAGAATTCCAAATAAGTGGGACCAAAGTTCGTTTTCTCAGTTTCTGTCTGATTTCCACTGACAGATGGGGAAGACAAGTGTTATTAATCCAACAATACAAGGATTGTTTAAGAATAGACTTCTACACGTTGCCAAGTGCCATAAAAATACTTAAAAGCTCACCTATACAGGAGCTTACAGGATGTTTAAGGTGTTCTAGTTAACCTTGAAATCAGTCCACATAACTTGAGACATGAGCAGCTGCAATTTAGGAATAAACCAATGTGCGGCTGCCCTTTAAGTGTCCAAGGTGATATTACTTTACTCATGAATGGGAAATTCCCTGCCTCTTAACTTCAAAACTGTGTGCATTCTACCTACCTCCAGCTATGTCACAGGAAAAAAAAACCAACAAAATTAAGGGGACTGTTAACAGCATGAAACACTGTGCACAACTAAAAGGAGGTTAATGTTTCTACACAACCGTTAACACTGTGTGTATACTGTCCTGTTACTCGGAATACAGTAATGCTTTATCTTTTCTTATAACATGCGAACATTTCCTGTAAACAAGCAGAATAAGGAGCTCAATTAGAAAAACCAACAGCTTTATTTTTCCTCATCCACACTTTTGTGAGCACCTGACTCAAATTGGATAGTTTCACACAGTCCTCAAGGATAACATATGCAGCTAACTCACAACACAGGCAGACGCTATACAAATAGAAGATGGAACAGACTGGTTCTGCATCCCTATGGAAACACCGATGTTTATATACATTCCACCTTACTAGTTCACTTGGCAGAAAATACACTTTATTGAAAAGTGATGAATGTTTTATTTTTCATGGTGGCAAAAGTATAAATTTCTTGAAATGTGCTGTACTTATTCACAAACTACATGCAGTTCTTGGGTGCTTAAAAGTCAAGCTACTTTAAACATAAGAAAAAACACCACGGCAACAAAATTACCTTACAGTGGGTGCTGTAATGATTCCTATGAAGAGGATTCTCCCCCAACTTAAAGGGTGGCTTGCTTGGAACACAAAGATATGTTTCAAAAAGAATGTGTTCAACTCAGTCAGCTTAAAAAAAAAAAAAGTTAGTTAGTAGTGTTCAACTTACGTAACCCCTAAATGAGTTACTACAGAAATCATACAATGATTAATACAGGAACTAAAACATGGAAGGAAAACTATGCTATACTATAGCCCTGCTGGTTAGATTGAAGATTTAAAGAGTCTAAGATTCCCGCTCTAGGACAAGCATGGAATATACTACTAAAACGAAGAGTCCTCTGCTAGACACCTCTATGCAAGTATTTGCTCTCTTTCCAGAAACCCATTAAGGGACCAGACACTAATTCAAACTGAAGAGGTCTTCTGTTAACTTTCATACCCTAAATCAGGTATGATTAACTGAGGGAAATTTGGTAGAGGAGTAGAAGAGATCATATAAAGAAGAAAAAATAATAAAATCAAGCACAGTTCTCCTTTTAAAGACTAAATCCAGCAAATTAAAAAAAAAAAGTTTAGGTTTTAGTGAAGTCTGCTAGCATTTGCATGATGAAGTACCAAAGCAGTTGGGACTTATGGAGTCTTCCTGGATCAAGGCCAAAATTCTGAGTATCACTGATCCATCCAACAGTCAAAGGGGAAAAAAGAAAAAAGAAGAAAACACATCCACCCAAAATCCCACTGTCTAGCAGTTTTTTAAAATGTATCAATTGCAAAGAGCAATCTGATGCCCAGTACAGCAATCTGTAACATTTGGGTTTTTCCCCTACACATTCTGTAATTACACTCCTGAACTATCGTGTAAGTCCCATGAACCAATTCTGTATTATCATTTAACTGTATATTTCAATGATGGACATACATTGCATTAGAATATCTTCTAGCCAAACACAGCCAGGAAGTAACTGAGCTGATGGCAGCTTTGATTTCACAGAATTTATTTCTTCCCTGCCAAATGATCATGAAAAGGTAGATCCCAGCCACTCTTTGAAATGAAGACTTAGGGTCAAACCAGCGAACATAGGTCCAGCTGGCTGGGGTGAACTGTAATACAGCTCTCTTGATTTTCCCTGTGGTTGTGTGAATGTCCCTAGAAAAAGAGAATGGCTGAGGTAAAC